GGGGCAGGTTAGGGCCAAGGTCGTCAATAGCGAACGGGCACGACACGATGCTATTTGCGATGAATAAATGTACGTAAACTCATTATGGCAGTGAGATGTAAGTGTCTCCGAAAGAATGGCAACTAGCGCGCTGACAGGCGCCATCAGTTCAACATGTTTTGGTGAATGTCGTTTGTGTATACTGTGAAATAAACAAGAAAATGGGTGAGTTACCGCTACAAATTCTGAGCAGGGATTTTGGTTTGGAATCTAGAAATCACGATTTTTCGAGGTTCCGAAGACCCTAGCTCCCAAAGTACTGCTTCGGCTTTTGTGCTGTATGTCTCATTTTGTGTAAATCTATTGGCTTGAAATGTGAGCATACTTTAAATGGGATAAATACATGTACAGTGAGTATTGTTGAATTCGCCCTGAAACGAATTTCGTACGTTGACTTCGTTTCATCCCCTTCCTTGTATATAGTACTAAGACCCCGCTAGTGACAGTATATACCTTGATAGCAGTTTTTAGCGTTACAAGCCCCTGTGGTCAGGCTTGCTGACTTGGTTGACACATGTCATCGGTTCCCAATTGTGTAGATCGATGCTCATGCTGTTGATCACTGTTTTGTCTGGTCCAGACTCGATTGTGTACAGACACAAACATTGTGTTAAACAACCAAACAACAAACCAACCACACCACCCGGGACTACCCTACTCCAGGCAACTGAAGGGACCAGATGAAAGTGGCACAGTAGACTCCGTTGGACCTGGATGACGGTGGAAGCCAGCCCTGATCACGGCTTATTTCGGCAGCCGTCAGCTCAGCCGCAGTCTAAACAGCTTGGTTGACAATACTAGCCGGTGTAGGAATCGCGCCTCGACACCATCTCTGAATAGAAATTATGCAAACACTACCTACCAGGGTGTTTGGAAGGGAGAAGTGAGATTAGAAGCCGAGGTATGTGGCGGTAGGGGTTATTGTTGCGGAGGTGTGTCTCACTGCTTCTGGACGGGAGGCACTTTACTGTGCATCTTGGGAGGCGACCGCGTGTGAAGTACAGCATGGTGTGGAAGCCGGGTGGGCGATGTTTAGTGTTCACTATAACACACCTTACAGGTGGCAGATACTTGATATTCCTGACTACATGCTGGAATGTGGGCTCCGATTATCGTTAAGCGTGGCTTCCACGCAATTTAAACCCCCGAGGCTATCAACTTTATGTAACAAAGATTTTGTTCCGAGTCGTATAGCTTGTACTCAGTGACCTACGGTGGCTGTTGTTTTACGCCGCTGTCGGGACTGCGTGTACTGTAACAGTGCCGTCGTACAAAGCAACCGACTAGCGCTACGACTGTCGTAAGTCTGGGTTAGGGCCACGACTGTCGTAAGTCTGTGGTAGGGCCACGACTGTCGTAAGTGTGGGTTAGGGCCACGACTGTCGTAAGTCTGTGGTAGCGCTACGACTGTCGTAAGTCTGTGGTAGGGCTACGACTGTCGTAAGTCTGGGGTAGTGCGACGACTGTCGTAAGTCTGTGGTAGGGCTATGACTGTCGTAAGTCTGTGGTAGGGCCACGACTGTCGTAAGTCTGTGGTAGGGCTACGACTGTCGTAAGTCTGTGGTAGGGCCACGACTGTCGTAAGTCTGTGGTAGGGCCACGACTGTCGTAAGTCTGTGGTAGCGCTACGACTGTCGTAAGTCTGTGGTAGGGCCACGACTGTCGTAAGTCTGTGGTAGGGCCACGACTGTCGTAAGTCTGTGGTAGGGCCACGACTGTCGTAAGTCTGTGGTAGGGCCACGACTGTCGTAAGTCTGTGGTAGGGCCACGACTGTCGTAAGTCTGTGGTAGTGCCACGACTGTCGTAAGTCTGTGGTAGTGCCACGACTGTCGTAAGTCTGTGGTAGGTGGTACTGTCGTAAGTCTATTAGCCACGACTGTCGTAAGTCTGTGGTAGGTCTGTGCCACGACTGTCGTAAGTCTGTGGTAGGGCCACGACTGTCGTAAGTCTGTGGTAGGGCCACGATGTCGATTGTTGTAAGTCTGTGGTAGGGCCACGACTGTCGTAAGTCTGTGTGGTAGGGCCACGACTGTTGTAAGTCTGTGGTAGCGCTACGACTGTTGTCTGTGTAGCTACGACTGGTAGGGCCACGACTGTCGTAAGTCTGTGTTAGGGCCACGACTGTCGTAAGTCTGTGGTAGGGCCACGACTGTCGTAAGTCTGTGGTAGGGCCACGACTGTCGTTAATCTGTGGTAGGGCCACGACTGTCGTAAGTCTGTGGTAGTACGACGACTGTCGTAAGTCTGGGGTAGTGCGACGACTGTCTACGTAAGTCTGGGTTAGCGCTACGACTGTCGTAAGTCTGGGTTAGCGCTACGACAGTCGTAAGTCTGCGGTAGCGCTACGACTGTCGTAAGTCTGGGGTAGTGCTACGACTGTCGTAAGTCTGCGGTAGCGCTACGACTGTTTAGACTAACGCTTAGTCTCTGAATCTAAATTAGGGCCTGCAGCTTTTCAGGATTAAGGGCAAACACTGCCGACAAGTGCTACAACTGTCGTACGTCTGTGGCAATGCTACAACTGTCGTACGTCTGTGGTAATGCTACGATTGTCGTACGTCTTTGGTAGTGCTACGACTGTCGTAAGTATGTGGTAATGCTACGACTGTCGTAAGTCTACGGTAGCGCTACGACTGTTCTAGGTCTGTGTTGAGGTATGGGAGTTACGACCGCCTTAGCTCTAAGATACCTTTGTACAATGGCATCCAGGTGAGTATCTGAATAATTGAGGGTCAAACAAGCCAGTGGTTGATGTTAAGAGCATCATCATTGGGACGACCTCATGATCCAATTAAGTGACCTTTCAAGTGGGAGTGGTTTAATGTTCAATTTGTGCAGTAATGGGTTGGTGAATGTTGATGAATGCCGTAGTCAGCAATAGTCACAGGAGTCTTGGCTAGACAAACCAGTCATGAACAGGATTAACAGTCAGTGTGCGAAATAGCCACTGGCCCGCTAGCCCGAGGCTGGTAAAAAATCAAGTCGGACCAGTAAATCTCCACAGTAACTGGCCCGACTGGCTATTGAATGTTTATTTGGTAGATATATAACTTTCTTTGACTTGTTATAACACATTTTTAAATCATGCACGATAATGGCCTGATAAAAATGTTCATTATATTATCAGCAAAATTATGAATGCCGTGTCTACATTCAAATTTCAGGCTAGTGAATTATTTTGTGAGCTAGTATCTCTCAGGCATAGCTGGCCCGACCGGCTAGCAAAATGTGGAAACTATATCGCACATTGTTAACAATCAACACCTCCTGAACATGGTTGCATTCAGTCAGCCATAGTCCCTGAACCACATTATTTTCCCTACTGTTTAGCCCTCCCTGTAATGCTAAAGCCCTAAATGAAGCAAGTCTAGATTTCCTCAGGTTCTGAATCTCCATTCTCACTGGGTATATTTGTTACTGTCAACATTATATATATTCAGAGACTAAGCGTTAGTCTAAGTCAGACATACCACCGAATCCATTTCAGTCTCCTCTTACGACGAACATAGTTGTCTGTGGTCCATCTGTGATCCTTGTGAGGTGAGGTGAATTTGGGTTTAACGTAGTTCATATGAATAAACTCGTATTCCAGCCAAGGCCTACATCGAGCACACCTTGGTATAGTGCAAAGTCGTCTAGTTATATGCTGGACTAGGTTTAACGTCGTGCTTGAGAATATTTCGCTCATATGACGACGTGCGTGCGTGCGTGTGTATGTGTATGTACGGCTGCTTGTACTAGCCCAGACTTAAGCTGGTTTTATAGTGCTAGCCCACTGAGATACCATGCTGCAGAGAAGCATGAATACCCCACTCAGACACATTATACTGACTCCGAGCCGACCAGTCCTTGTTGTACCCATTAATGCCGAGCGCCAGGCAGGGACCATTAAGTACCATATTTTAACGTCTTTTGGTATGACGCGGTCGGGGATCGAACCCGCGACCTTCCGCTCTCCGGGCGGACGCTCTAACCACTACACCACGGAGGCGGTCGTGATCCTTGTGGCAAGTGTATGGAGTGTCTGCCCGGTGAACGACAGGTCGGTGGGTCAGTGGTTTAAAACACATTAAAATCAAATGTGTTACTTGATGTTGCCCTGCCTGGCGCTCGACATTATCGGGAGGCCTGGAGTCAGTATACTGCCTGAGTGAGTTTTCAGTTTCAAACTGTAGCACGGTATCTCAACTGTTCTAGCACAATGATCTCTATGGTGATCGATATATACGGTATCTCAGTGTTCTTGCACAATGATCTCTATGGTGATCTATACGGTATCTCAGTGTTCTAGCACAATGATCTCTATGGTGATCTACTTTCAGCTGATTCAATTACTCCAACCAGGTTAAAACTAATGTTTAGTAAAGTTTAGTGAAAGGAATGAGTGAATGAGTTAGTCTAGTTTTACGCCGCTTTTAGCAATATACTAGCAATATCAAGCGGGGGACACCAGAAATAGGCTTCACACATTGTACCCATGTTGGGAATCGAACCCGGTCTTATGCGTAACGAACGAACGCTTTAACCACTAGGCTACCCAATCTCCCCTTTAATGAACGGAAGCAATATAATTCTGCAATGTTTCATTTAAACGAGCTGCTTTTGGCCTTTTCTTCAACTTAAAAGGCTTGAAGGTTTTTTATTCGATTCTTGCGGAGCTAACATCCACGACAAAATCGCTCAAGAGCAGTCTGATAACCACACATGTGTAAGGGTAAAACATAGATCACATCCCTGATTCCTAGAAATATAATATTAATATATATATATATTAAAATGATAAAATTTCAAAATATATATCTAGAAACAAAAACTCCAATAAAATTAAAAAGAAGCCCAGAACATTTCTCAGTTACACAGCAGTGGTAATCTAGACTTGCCCAATGCATCTAGATTCTCTGGTGTCTGGAAGAAAGACTAGACTCCAACAAGCGATGTTTGAAATGTTCCATATTTCCAGTTGAACGCCGTATCAGCTGGATACTCCGGGATTGACGGCCCCTGCTCTCGGATCAGATTCATCTGTCTGCTGTAGAACCACTTGAGTCGCTGCTGTGCTTCCCCCTCCACAGACACCCTGGCCGGCTGCCCTCCAGACAACGTCAACATGGCTGCCATGGGAAAGTTGTTCTGGTAAAAACATGATCCGCCATGACACCTGTTCCGAGGTCGTTGCCTGTTGCGTGATTAATGAAGTATATGTCAGCCACCATCCTTCACGTCTTGGGGTAATCAGGGTCTGGGATATGTTGCCTCTATATTGGGCTAATCGGAAGTCGTGTCTGTTTAGAAAGTCCAAAAATGTCTCTATGTGCCTAATCAAATATGGATAAAATTTGTCTTTCGACAGATATATCGTTTCATGTTATTCATGTCACAAGTATGAATTTTTGTTAAATCCGATTCTTTGACTGGCATTTAGAAGTGGGAAGAACACTGAACTAAATGTGATCGTCCATTGTTGGCGAAACAGTTGGGGCCGATCTTTCAATATTCCTGGGGTTAGGTGGGATGGGGGTATTTTATCGAAAAAATACTTCTCTCAGCAAATGCATGAAAAGAAAGTTAATTTAAGACTATTAAAAAACAGAAACAGGTTGAAACAAAAAATACACTGTCGCAAGAATGCTTGTTATTTACAATATTTTAGGCTCGTTGCTTTCAAACAAATTCCGGCTTTTGCAGAAATATACACACTCCCTTCCACCCCTCCGGATCATGAAAACAATATCACAATAAAGGTTTTTGAAACCTCACACCCATTTTTATTGCATCTACATACGTAGAACCGAATTTACAATCAACATAATTCTATATACAAATATCAGTCTCTGTGATCACAATATAGGCTGGGTTCATAAACTTAATAAAATAAAGCAAACTTTTGAAATAGCGAACACGAATAAATGTAATCTATCTACCATGAATATACTCCAGTCAAAATGTGAAGACATGTTCAAGCATTCACTAAGTGATTCCCCTACTTCAAATAACAAATTAAGAACATACAGATTGGTCAAGTCATCTATAAAACTCGAAAATTACCTATTTCATTGTAAAAACAAAGCTCATCGATCACATTTTTCAAAACTACGTTTAAGTAATCATAAACTCAAAATTGAAACTGGAAGATATACAAAACCTGCAACCCCGTTAGAACAACGTCTCTGTGAAATGTGCAGTGTCTTAGACGATGAGCAACACCATATAATATCATGTACCAAGTATAACGAAGAAAGGGAATCACTTATACACACAATGCTATATTATGACCAAGAATTTACTACACTCTCAAAAAAAGAACAATTCTTAATAATTTTCACGAACAGAAGTCCTGAATTAATTTCCAAAATATGTCACCATCTTTACAACTTTAAATGAATGTTATATCTTACCATAGCCTCCTTATATATTACTTCCATGTCATTATACCACATGATTTCTAAAAATTGTTATAATGTACATCATTTATGTGTGAAATGTATCTATATTTCTTGTACCTACTGTGTAAATATTTGTAGTTTATAGAATATTGCCACTGTTTCTTCATGGAATGCTATGCAATAAATATCTTATCTTATCTATACATTAGGATTAGATTCAAGAATATTCTTGTATGCTTCTTGGAGATTCAGTATCAGTGCCGTTAATGACATGGGACACTTGGAGTTAACCCTCACTTTCTTTTGGCGTTCTTAAGGGAAAACACAAGAATATAATCCATCTCAAAATCGCCAAAGTTTTCCTTGAACATTTGCAATCCGAGAAAAGAACCAAGTACCATTGTGTCCAAACATTTATTTAACTGTGTATACCACACCAACGCTCTATGACACAATGTACCAATGTGGGGATTCGAACCGTCGGCGTGACGAGCGAACGTTTTAACCACAAGGCTACCCTACCACCCCAGTGTAGCCAAGAACTCAGCATGTCAGTGATCTAGTATTAATGGTCAAATAATCCACTCCCCGTCTCATATTTAAATCTATTCATAAAGATCTAGTACATTGGTAAATGTTGCTTTAAAGATTAAGAAATACACTGTACACAACAATATATGACAAAAGTGACTTCAGCTTTAATTTTGTTTAGCAATATTCCGGCAGCTCCAGCTTCAGATGTCTGTAGAATGCGTCGATTTAAAAGAGTCATACGAATCATGCTTGAAATGTGTTTGATAAGGATAGCAGCAATGAAGTCCAGTCAAGTCAAGCACGTATGGTGTGTGGTTTAACTGGGGTCTAGACTTCAGCTGAACACATCTGTTGGTCAGTTTAACTTTTATTTAACAAATTTTATTTTGAGCCTTGTCTTCAACAAAATATGGGAGTCTGCTAGTCAAAATGAACTGTATTACCAGGGAAAGAAACCTTTCAAAATTTCCCACTAGACCACAGGACCAGTGAGTGGACAATAATTAGTGGTCCTGTCTGTACTTCACTGGTGACCGCCTCCGTGGTGTAGTGGTTAGAGCGTCCGCCCGGAGAGCGGAAGGTCGCGGGTTCGATCCCCGACCGCGTCATACCAAAAGACGTTAAAATATGGTACTTGTTGGTCCCTGTCTGGCGCTCGGCATTAATGGGTACAACAAGGACTGGTCGGCTCGGAGTCAGTATAATGTGTCTGAGTGGGGTATTCATGCTTCTCTGCAGCATGGTATCTCAGTGGGCTAGCACTATAAAACCAGCTTCAGTCTGGGCTAGTACAAGCAGCCGCACCTACACATACACATACATGCACGTCGTCATATGAGCGAAATATTCTCAAGCACGACGTTAAACCCAATTTCACCTCACCTCACCTCACTTCACTGGTCCAAAATAACATTCATAGATTTACGTAATCAATACAAAATTCACTGGCCACCAGAACAACTGCAAACTTATCAATTAGTGGTCCTGATGAATTTTTACTAGCCAGGGACCACAGGGCCAGCGTAAATTTCGTGCAAGCGGTGACATGTGGTATACTATTTCAGCAGAATTGATACCATCCCTGTCTTACCTAGTGAGCCTACTCCGCCATGCCGATTTAACTGATTTGATGGAGTCTAACGAACTACGAAATTTACTACGCTCAGTTCCAAATTACTTATTCAGCTTAACCGTATATGGTCCAATAAACACATCCTTGGTGTTTTTATATTGTCTATATCCTCGTTTAGATGTAGCCTCTGATCATTCTGCAGCGGTTGCCATCATAATTTACTTTTCATTTTTTTTTTCTATGTAGCCTGGTACCGCCATTTACAACAGAAAGAAATGGCACTTATGACGAATGTTCAACCTCTCTGCTTCAGAGGAAACAAAAACAATATGGCATTTTCCATTGAAGAAATGAAATTGCTTTTAAAGCAGCAACTGTAAGACGTTTCTCAAGAAGAGCAACGCAAACAAAAGTCAATCTTGAAGACATCAACAAGCATATTCTAAACTAATCAAGTTTTCAAGATGTCATATTGCCCCTCTTAGCGATGGGCGATGTGTTTATTTTGGAGGTTTTTATCTGAAATCCTCATCAGAACTCTTCCACGTGCATCCATGTGCTTCGGGAAACACGTCTGGTTGAGTCTGTGAATGAATTCCCCATTTCATTCTTGCTTGAAAGCAAAAGCGAAAAGAAACACCTTCTACTCAAGATGTTACCGGTGAATTAAACCTTGGGATGTAACTGTTCCCTCTTAAATTCTATCTACTTAGGAACTTGGACATTCTACACCGGTTCCCTGATAGCGTAACGAGATGAAAGAGGCCGCACACACACACACCACAAGGATCTGCGTAAGATCATCCCGGCAGCGGAATCGAGGCGGTGAAGAGGGAATAAGTCCCCCATGAAGTATTACCACCTTATCCACCTGCACTAAATGAGACCCCAGTTGATTGTTCGTTTAGGACAAGGAATCCACTGGCTTGGTTTGTTTGACCACGAAACTCAAGTTGATATCATCGGGAACTGAGCAACGAGGGTTGATGTAGACTAACGTTTAGTCTTTGAAAATATACAATTGCGGTAGAACTAAATAACTCCATTGAAATTGAAAACAGCCCCATTGAGTTGGGCTGAAAGGGTCGTAGTCTAACGCTTAGTACCTGAATATATATGATTTTTATAGTAACAAATAAATCCATTTAACCTGAAAAGGAGCCCAAGTGAGTTGGGCGATTCAGGCTGAACCTGGGGAAATCTAGACTTGCTTCATTTAGGGCTTTAGCATTGCAGGGAGGGTAGGCATTAGGGGAAAATAATATGGTTCAGGGACTGTGAGACAGACTCAAGGGGTCTTTGTGGGCACAGGTACTACAGATATATACCCCAGGTATACAGAAATGTACCCCAAACAAAGTCGAAGTACAGAAACGTACCCGGTACCCAATACGGGGGAGTCCATATTCCGCAACCCAAAACCGAAGCCGTATGTAGTTGTTACCGTTGCTCCCAGATGATTGCGGGTGGTATTGTGCACCGCGAAATATTCGTTACTGTATATGCTCGTTTCTTACATAACGCAATCAAATGCACCTAATACAACAATATGCCAGTTCCGATCAAGAAAACGACACAATGCGGAATGGGCTCGTCCTATAGGGTACGTTTTTGTATTCTGGTTTTGGCTAGGGTACGTACGTTACGTACCAGCGATACATCTGTAGTACCCCTTTAGCGTGAGTTGGGACATAAATTCTGAGCCTGGGAAAAAATCTGGACTTAACGGTTTTTGTACCTGGAAAGACTGGGTGGAAGGGGTAATAGTGTTCAGGGATAGGGATGGTTGGTTGGACAATCCAGTGATCAACAGCATGAGCATCGATCTACGCAATTGAGATACGATGACATGTCTCAACCGTTAGTCGCCTTTTACGACAAGCATGGGTTGCTGAAGACCAATTCTAGCCCGGATCTTCACGGGTCTGAGGGCCTGTGAGACAGACTAGGGGATGGTGAGGTTTGAATGTGAGGAGGTTCACAGCGTTGCCCTTCAACGTACGTTACACATGTTGCAGATCCATGAACTCTGTTTCCTTCAATAAAGACGTATTTACCGGTGTTAGCCTGAGGCCATGAGTAGAGGAATCTGGGGGTAAATAACCCGACGGTGGTTTGGGTGTTCTGTTCGCTGCCAAGAGACACAGAACCAGCCAGGGCTTCACCGGCAGCTGCATCAGTTTCGACATGGACTAACCTCACGGTGGGGTGGAGATGGCTGTACATGGGTGCACGTACCATGGAACCCGCTTTTGAACCGACTCTGTAATCCCATGGGAGTGTTTTAAGGTCACATTTGTACAGTTCTGTTGCAGATGTCGTGCCTGCCATGTGGGTGAGCAGCTACAGGATATGGGCGGAGAG